AATAAAAACTAATGAATTTTTGATCTCGGCTAATTTGGTATATACTAAAATAAGTATGTAGTAATGAATATAACGAAAATGTAGATTGAATAAAAATGTGAGTGTTCAGTTCTTTTGTCTTTGACTGTACTCGATGCTACCCGACGAATATCTGGTCAGTGGTGATCGCCGAGCGTAGAGTAGGGTAGGGTTGCATAGCATCGGGCAGATGTGCACGGGGTTAATACAACCTTATGGAAAATTGGACTTTGGATTTTGTCGGGTGGCATCTGGTAGCGTCGCATATTGCATCGGGTATGTGAGTTCCCCGCTTTAAGCGGCGGGCAAATGATTGTGCGGTGTCGTTTGGGGGGCAACAGGCTCGTACCGTCTAGTAAAGTGCCGTAAAGTAAAGTAGTTAAAACAATTTGAAAGGTCAAGTTTATACGATGTAACAATGATCGTAATAAACGTAAAATTGAATGTTTTGCTTCGATGGAATTTGAGATTAAAATTGTCAAAAGATAAATTTGATCCTTAAATGTGAACAACCTTTGAAAACACTGTTCAGCAGAAATAAACCAAATGTCGATATATCATTTCCAGCCGGGTTGCGATTTGTCCGCCTTTTAGTTTCATGGGTCGATGGTGAAATGGGTAAATGATGTGACAATGCTGTATCAAAGATCGAAATAGAATTTGTTCCAATCGAAGTATGTTATCAATTATAAAACTTGGAAAAATCGCAATAAAGGAAAAAACACGAAAATCGTAATGACACAAGAACTAAATAAATAGCAATGTTCCTAATTTTTTTCGGATAAGTATGGTTTTAGGAACAAAAGTATAAATCAGAATATACCGTTATATTTTAGTTATATTTAAATAAGAAAAGCAAAAGATCACTTACATGAGAACACTGATTGCAATGGAATTCTTTTTTGGTGTCGAAAAATATGACACGTGTGCAAAATTCTTCCAAATTTGTCTGAAGCAATATTAAGTCATTTAAGTAATAATGTAATTGCTTAATTTTGCTAATATTATTTCTTAAGTTTTTCTATTTTACTCATCTATGCAGACGAATATTCTAAACATTGTTATGCTCCGTTGGTACCAAAACAATCGCCTTTCAAACAGTTGCGGAATTCGAACCCACGACCTTAGAAAAGATACGCCGCTAGGGTTGTAACATCATTGATTTTGAATAAAATCTAGAGTTGTTATGAAGGTTTATGTTGAAAAATAGGACACCAGAGAAAAAATGCTTCTGGCAAATCCAACCCAAAAATTAGTATTTATTTGTAAGTTTAAAAGTGTGCTTAACAATAATCCAATTTTTTTGTTTTTCTTTTATTTTCTAAGGTTTTTACACTATTTAACCGGAAGCTTTTTTTTTGTAACTCTTCTTACTTATAGTCTTGTATAATACACTTTTGCGTATCATTATCTTATTCTAGATAAAAGAAGGAAAACCAAATCAAACTATAAATAATAACTTACAATTAATTAAGGTTTTTTATTTTTTAGTTGAGAAGAAAAGTTAATGGCACGAGCGGGATTCGAACCCACAATCTTCGGCTAGATACGCCGCTCTTTCAGAGGAGTGAAAATTCAAAAGGTGGGGTTGAGATGGGAAGTTGGTGTCCGTGTGGATCGAGGTCACGGTNAACTTATTAAATTCACTAGTTTTCGTGGTCCGCTTGACCAAATAATATCTTTCAATTAATTAATCTGTATTTAAGGTATTGGTTGAGAAGGTGAGGTTGAGATGGAAAGTTGGTGTCCTAGTGGATCCAGGTCACGATAGCTCAAGTGGGAGAGCAGCGGCGTATCTAGCCGAAGATCGTGGGTTCGAATCCCGCTCGTGCCATTGACTTTTTTATCTCAACTAAAAAAAAACCTTAATTAATTGTAATGTAGTAATATATTAATTGGTCAAGCGGACCACGAAATTAGTGAATGAATAATAACCTTTAAACAAGTGCACAACAAAGGTAAAAAAATATAATTTAAAAGCCTATGTATATTACTTAAAAGCTAAAACAGTTCCTAGATCGTTCGATTCTAATGTTTCTTAATGCAGTACTACCAAAAATTGAAATTAAAATATGTGGTCCCACTCTCCTATCCTGCCTTTTTCAGTTGTGGATTTTCAAAATGTGCAACAATCCGATAATATTTTCTTCATTAAGACGCTATTGAGCTAATGGTAGAAAGAAGGACATCCCTTTTTTACGATTTTGCCTAAAATCTTATTTCACACAGTCATGTAATGTTTACTTATTAGAAACAAACCATTTAATAAGAAGAAGCTTTTAAAAAAAATTAAATTCATTGTTTTTCGTTTTAACTGCATTAATGTGCTCAAAAGAAGCGAGTTTCAGATGTTTAGAAAGTGTATTACGAAAAAATATCTCCTAAAGGACGACGAAGGAAATAAGGCGAGGATTTCGTTCTGTTAATGGGGGACAGCTAATTAATTATTAAAGCAAGAATACAAAAAAGGAGGAAAAAAGGGAGTCGGAAGAAGCAAGATAAACTGAAAAACGGCGGAGAGAACGCTGAATTATTGTCCTGAATTCCGTGGTTCTGATGCAAGGTCGGCCAAATGGATTTTTCAAAAGGATCCCATCCGCCCTCTTTTGAATCTATTAACACCTCCTCGGCATCAGGTTAATTATGAAAAGTTATAGAGTCGCAGGTTCGCTTCCTTTGAAAGGATCAATTAACCGGGTAAGTTTTATCGAGCCTGAATAGGATAAGGGAAGACTTGTCATTATTCACGCTTCGTACCCTGTGCATAATTTACAAAATTGTGCCGACGGTCGCACCGACAATCAGGACCAATAGAACAGTTCATTCCATTTCAAGGATAGGGACATTAATTTATCCTTTTGCATTTTTGTTCGCGAACGTCCTGTCATTTTACAGCCCTTCTGACTTTGGAATTTTATTATTAATATTATTATTTTTTTTTTTTTGGACTGGGGCATCCGACATCTAGGTCATTTCAGCCCCAACAAAGTCTATATTCTATTTACCCTTTCAAACACTACATTCATACAAATAAATACATTCATACACATGAATACATTCATACAGTACACTCATTCCGTTTGGTCGATGGATTACTTGATATTCCTCCACCGACCTATACTCAAACTAATCTAGATTGGGGTCGATGGAGTACTTTTATAAATATTCCGCCATCGAACCCGAACACACACTCATACGCTCTCAACGTTCGAGGGGCGATGACGACGTTATATTTCACCCTCACCCCTCGCCATTCACGCTAATAAATACATGCACTCAGACAAACATATAGACATGCAACACATAAGACATATTATATACAATAGAAAACCCCAGTTTCCTCTAAAATGCGGTTCAGGGGACCCAGAACCACGCTGCGGTGATGGAGTACCTTTTTTAGATTGGATGGCATGCCTACACGCTCTCTGTAGGGAGCCAAGGCATGACATGTTTCCAGTATGTGGGACACATCGAGCAACCTTTCTCTGCATAAGGGGTATAGGAATTTTATTATTATCCAGCAAACGACATAGACACCATATATTAACATCCAGAGTGAGGTAGAGAGAGTGAGAGAGAGAGAGAGAGAGAGAGAATGAGAGAACGGATAAGGGTTCGAGGAAAAAGTGGTGAGAGAGTTATAAAGATCGTGTTTTGGTATTGTGACTGCTAAAATTTAAAATCCAGTACAATTATTCACTGTCTTTAAAATTTTCCTAATTGGCGTACGTATAAGATAGTTATCAGTCATGAATATACTCGATCCTGATCTCTTATTTGAATTCTAAGTGTTTTGCTTGAAATTTACTAATTCGCGTGTAAGTCGAAAACGCTGAGAAATTAAGTGGAAAGTGATCAATTGAAAGCTTAAAATTTCCTAAATAAGGCGCCGCTCCAGGATGATTTCCTGGTTCCATAGTTAAATTTTAAGTTTTTGTAAAATGTGCAACAATTAACATGCTCACGAAATAATGAATTTACTGATGAATGACTGAAGCGAGGAAAACATTGATAAAACTATCTTTTTCAGCTTCAAATTTTCTAAAACATGAAACGCAGCGCCCGTCTGAGACATAAAAAACTGAGAAAAAATACATTTCCAAATTTGGCCATTTTTTTGCGCGTATTGTGAATTTTTCTTTACCTAACCCGCCATATATATTTGTATCTATCATGTTAACATACAACGATCAATAAAAGTCTTTATCTTTTAATATCGTGACTGCTCAACGTGTCAGGTAATCGCGCTTATATGAAAAACTATTCATATATCGCGATCTGTTCATCCTCGAGGGTAAAAGTCAGTAAAAGGGCCATATCAGAGCATCCATAAAAACATGTCATGCTATCCCTTCTCCGTCTTTGTCAACATCGACCAGCTGTTATTGCCGTTACAAAGTTTGGGAAGATTTGCACGGAATCATTATTATTATCGAAATACAATTGCTGCCTGGTTACCAAAACTGAAATTTAGATTATTACAGTCTAATGTTAATAGGGAATTCATTAGATTTAGTGGTACAATTGACCAAATAACATCTTTCAATTAATTAATCTTTATGTAAGGTATTGGTTGAGATAAGAAAGTCATCGTCACGAGCGGGATTCGAACCCACGACCTTCGGCTAAATAATCACGATAGCTCAAGTTGTAGAGCAGCGGCGTATTTAGCAGAAGGTCGTGGGTTCGAATCTCGTTCGTAACGATGACTTTCTTATCTCAACCAATACCTTAAATAAAGATTAATTAATTGAAAGATCTTAATGGGGAAATTTAAAAAATCTGTAAAAGAAAAGTAAGCACAAACTTTGCGTTAAAATAGAAATTATTTATTGTACTTTTATGTATTAACTTGAAAGAAACCTTTACACAATAGTCTTTTTTAATGGAAATCGAAGGTTAGAAAAAATGCGATTTAATTGTGTTTATGAATTTGCGTCAACAATGGCATTTAGAATTCTTGAAGTTTTAAACGTCAGCTTTTAGCATGGAAATAAATCCCAGGTTGTTAATTTGTGGGTAAATAACCGGTCAGGAAGACAATGGACGACTCTTGCAAAATACATTATTCCCCGTGATTTAACAATTCCACGATGTTTTGTTCAACTGTAGTACGACAAATTCAAATTTATTCATAAACTCAGCACAGACGTCTGTTTATTGTAATATAACCGACGAAATGTTTTATCATATGGTACAACTGATAGAATAGAAGTCAGAAAAGGGTATCGCCGAAAAACAAAACAACAAAAAAATATTTCTTTCGGCTTCTTCTTCAAATTTAATTTTCCGAAAATGACAAATACCGACGAAAATCTGTATGATGATTGCCATGCCACATCTTCGTATTACAGAACATGCGGACTACCTCCAAGATTTGAATATCCGCGTAAGTTACATCCTAAACTAAATTTTAATCACGTTAAAAGCGTTTCCATGTTAGGAGTGTGAATCTGTAAAATGTTTAAAATTACTGTAAAATATTGTTTTGAGGACGTTTGAGTAAATTACTCCTTTTGTCACCATGAATATGTGATCTATTGTACACGTGTACACGGATGTTCCAGAGCTCTGATTGAGCACAAAACGCTATTTCCTCTCCGTCACCACAATAAACATCCTTCCCCTGCTTTCCCAAGTTGATTCAAATGCTTGTCGAAGAGACCTAGGATCGTTAGGATTTATGATTCAATTAATTTTCAAAATCTGAACAACAAATAGGGCAATTTGTCCCTTTTAACCCTCGAGAAGATAATAAATCTTAACATTGTTGTTTTTTCAATAAATTTCAATGATTCCAGCTACAATCCATTTAATAAACATGAATAATTTTAAAGAATCCTGCAGTGTGCTGTGTAGTCTTGAGGAACAGATTAGTGTAAGAGGATATATCTTTGTATCTTGGTGAAATATATTCACAATTTTCTGTTTTACTCATAAACCTTTATTATTTGAAGTTATATGCGTTTATCTTTTGAAATATGGTGCTATTTTTGTTTTTGGTTAAGGGACAGCTAATTGATCAAAACATGTGTCGCGATCTGTTCTCGATTCAACAAGACGGGCCCAACTCTGAATCCTTTTTATGAGAAACAGAACCCCAGAGGTCTTGATCAAACCTGAATACAGCCGATCAGGTGCCTTTTTATAATAAAATTTAATTAAAGTTTAAAAACAATTTATTAAACACACAAGAAAATAATAATTAAAACCAATAAATTTCCTTTTACATTTTAAACAAACAATTAAAACTTTTTTATAAATTTAAATAAACAGTAATTGCCTACAAAGCGTTTGCCAGACCATTTAGAACAAGGGTGGATATGTACTCACTATTTCCAGTCAATCGGCAGTGGACCGAAGCACTCTATTTTAGGAAATACAACACTTTTGAGGACGCATATTTCTCTTGTCTCTCATCTACATGGAATCTTGTTCACCTCTCTGACTCGACTGTCTTTTCCCTATTCTCTTTTTTTTACTCTAGGCCTAATCACGAAATCTAAATCATAACATTGTCACTTTAAAATCAATTGAAATGTGATACATGTATCTCTCATCTCATAATCTTTCTAACTATTGCACAAACCATCACTAAATCAAATTATATAGCCAGAAAATATATTTATTAAGCTGTAGTAATAAAAAAACTACAAACAACTGAGGCACAATGAACGATATTCAACAGGTTTAAGATATAACATATGTAATACGTCTTTTTATCAGTTTTGTCAACAAATTGGCGTACATTTTTGACTTAATTTATTTTCTAATGTATGTATTAGATGTATTATACACAACCAGTAAACTGGATTTCAATTTCTTATTGTAAAATACGGGTGTTACGGAGAAAGTATTATACACATTCGCAGCCGCTCTGGATTCATAATATCCAAACCAAGATTTTCTTTAGTAGTGGATGATTTATGACTTGGGGTCATTTGATGAAATTGGTTTTCTGGAATGGACAGTGGAAAAGGAAATATTTTGTCTTGTTCCTCAGTTTCATCAGTCCAGATGAATGTCCAGGGTGACAATTGAATTTGCAGGAGAGATATGATATGCTGTGGTTTCTCGTTTGGTCACCACCAGATTGGAACGAAGGACCAACGGAATGGATAAAAACGTACAAATTTGTTTGAGGAATATTGTTTGTTTCGAGTACAGTATACAGATACTAATAAGCGGGGGCGTCGGTGGCCGCAACAGTTTAGGCGTTGACACGGCGCTCATCACTGTAAGGTAAAGGTCCCGGGTTCGAATACAGACGCCCTGCATTCGAACCCGAGACACTTACAAATGGCTTCTTTTTTTTCAAAATGCCAGGACCCCGAAGGTTGATATAACCTCTGCTGTTGCGAACCGTCGAGAAAAAACTAATAAGACTAAAAGAAATCGGATAGATACTTAGGGAAATGGCTGCAGTTTGGAGAAAATCATTAGAGGTTGATGAAATTGGGGGATGTTTAAGGGCGTTACGGATTATGCAAGGATGAAGGGAGTTAAATTTTTTTATAGCCCCTCCACCGAATAATTTAAAAAAAAGTTGAGTAAAATCTAGTTTTAATTACATAGTAATAAAACTATCTCATTGCTACTGAAATTAACCATTAATCGTTGGAAAGTAGAGTTAGTTACAATATCAAAACAACCTTAAATTTTGTGTACAAATTAAATAATCTGTATATTTTATGTAATTTTATTGAAAAACATATTTTTGCACTAATAAAAATATCACAATTAATTCATTGGCCAGAAATCAACTTTTAAATATAATTAAGCTGATAAATCAAACAATCAAGACAGTTAAAAATTATATTTTATGGGACAAATTTTATAAGAGCTTCATTACTTTAGTCTAAACTTAAGTTTTATCTAAATATTTAACATACAAATGTTAGAATAAATCTACCTTTTTGCTAAGCCCTGGTTTAATGGGGATAGAGTTTTGGGATTATAAACTTTAGCTCTCTGATAACTAAGTTAGTAATTAATCAGATGTTTCCATCGAAGTCTAAGTCGAATAATGTCGATTTTTCCCTAAAAGTAATGTATTTAGCTTTGACGTTTTCAAACAGCGTTTTTGGAATCAATAAAAAAGTTAAAAAAAAAGAAAAATTCTTTATTATTTTCCCTTTTTTACTCCAAGTTGGATGATACACGGAAACACGAACAAATTCTAGCGAAAACTTAAAAATCTTGGTAAATATACAGTTGGTTTCACGAACCTCCATACGAATGGATTCAAGGGGCAAAGTAATATTTTCGGATGAGTGCAGATTCCGCTTGAGATATTGATAGGAAGGTCGGAACGTTTTCGGACGGATCAATCTAATCTACTTGGCCCAGAATAATAGTCAAGAAATTAAATATATCGAAAATGTAGAAATTTTCGTATAATAATAATTTTTGTTTTATTTCGCTGTTGTGCAAGCTTAAGAAAAACATAATTAAGAAAAACTTATTTGCAAATTGTTTCTTTTTCTAACCTATAGTCACTTATATTCTTAATCTAACTTTTACAAAGAGTACAAATTTGAAAGAAGCTAGTCACTTTTATTAAACATCAGCGCTTTTACTTTCTGCTTGACTGATTTAAAAAGAAAATGGCTTTACGCCAAAAATAGCAAAAATGAAATATTAATATTAAATTACTGTATATTAAATAATGGTTTTGAGGAAGCAGATTTTTAGAATTATTACAATTTTTATTGGTGGAGTTTGAAATGAGTGTATTAGATTCAAATCAGCAGAAAACCGAAAAAAGAAAAATAGTTTATTATAAAGGAAAATGACTTACCAGCTGGTTAGAAAGATATGAGGAGATTGAGTGTGAGAGGGAAAGTTAGGGACAGAGAGAGGCATAAAGAATGAGTGAATAAGTGACGCTTTAATAAAAAATCTCACAGATTGTGGTCGCGAACGTGCTCTTTTACAGTTGACGGGAAAGTGAGAGAAGGATGGAGAGAGAGAGAGAGAGAGGGAGTGAGGGAAGAGCGAGAGAGAAAGGGGAATGAAGAAAGACTGAAGGTGAGTGAAAAAATAAAAAGAGAGAAAGAAAGAGGGAGACACACTGAGAGAAAGAACGAGAGAAAGAGAGAGAGAGAGAGGGAGAGGGAGAGAGAGAGAGAGAGAGAGAGAGAGAGAGAGGAGAGCAAAAAAGGGAGAAACAGAAAGTTACAAAAACGGAGATACAGGGAGAGGAGAGAGAGAGAGAGAGAGAGAGAGAGAGAGAGAGAGAGAGAGAGAGGGAGAGTGAAAAAGGAAAAGAGGCCGAGAGAGAAAAAGAGAGGGGCAGAGAGTAAGAGAGAGAGATAGGAGAGAGAGAAAGACAACAAAAAAAAAGGGAAAACATAAAGATAGATAGATAGATAGATAGATAGATAGAGAGAGAGAGAGATAAAGTGAGAGAAATAACAGTGATAACAAATAAGTGAGTGATAAAACAAGGGGCAGAGAGAAAAAGAGATGCACTGGAAGAGAGGAGAGAGAGAGAGAGAGAGAGAGAGAGAGAGAGAGAGAGAGCAAAAAAAGAAAGGCAGAAACAGAAAGATACAAAAAGGGAGATACAGAGAGAGGAGAGAGAGAGAGTTAAAAAGGAAGAGAGTCAGTGAGAGAAAAAGGAACAGGCAAAGAAAGATAGGAGAGAGAGAGAGAGAGAACAAAAAAGAAAGAGAAAACATAAAGATACAGACATAGAGAGATACAGTGAGAGAAAGTTAATGATAAAACAAGAGACAGAGAGAGAAAAAGAGAGAGGGCGAGAGAGAGAGAATGAGAAACAAAGCGAGAAAGAAAGAGCGTTTCATTTTTATTTAGTTTTATTCATTTCAGGGGGCGAAGTGCAACGGTAATTCATGACCTGCCAGTCATGGGTTAGCGTAATGCTTGAGCCATGAAATGGAACGACATTATGTACTTCAGAAAATATGATTTATAGTCGTGACGACGCGTTAAAACCCATCCCGTAGAAATTTTGAACGCAGAAGAAAATAATAGGTTTATCCGTACAATACACAATATTAATTTGTTAATTGTTATACTTACGAAAAAATGGCTAAATTTTTTTATTTTCTTATACTTTCGTTATAAAATAAGAATCTACTTGAAAACTGGCGATGTTTCGATGCTTGCAATAGAAAATATATGATATTTTAATAAGAAAATTTAGTTTTCAAATAGGCATCGTTATAAAAGATAATTTATTTAGGCAGTATGTTGATATATAAAATATTTTGTTGTTTGTTAGAGGAAGCGTTTAGTTTTAGTTTATTTTAAAATAATTACAGATAATTTTGATGAGAAACATTGCTGTTCTATTTATTTACATCATAAAATCGATAAACATTGTATTTAACTATTTATTAATTAATGGTTCAATTTTTTTAAAGAAGGTTATGTTTATCTATTAACTAATTCGTGCTTGCCAGGGCTTTTCAAAAACCTTTCCTAAACTAATTTACGTGGTAAATAGATTTAATTACAAGTTTGTTTCTCTAGTCGTTGATACCAGTTTTCACCCGGTTTTCATTGTTAAACTTTGATTAGGATTTTAGCTCGTAATTTGGCTTTAAACCTAATATTTAGAGTCTGAGACTGACGAGAAATATGATTTCACGTGTTCAGTACATTTGTAATATGTGACTTAATTTATTTTAATAGTAGGGTAGGTTTAGTTGGTATTCTTCGAATCGCTTGGGCTGATGTTTAACATGATTTAAACGATAAATGTACCACACTTTTTTGGGTTACTCCGTGTATAAAAATTATAACCTTTATGTTTTAATGTGCAAAATTTTTGTATATTGTAAGTTTACAATAGATTACGTTGGTTTAAATTTCGTTTCAGTAAAACGGAAGATTTGTTTTTTACAGATGTCTTTAAGCACTATGGATGTCAACTGCCAAAGCGACATCCGATGTACAGAACAACAAGTATGGATTATGGGTATTCACCGCCCACGGTTCACACGGTATCGCGAAGCTACCATCCCAAAATAAATGAGTTCACCAAATCGCGCGGAGCGAATCGAAGGAGAATTTGTATCCTGAACATGTGAGAGGCCAAGCTGCAATTATAAAACAAACTTCCTTTTATGCCGGTCCGTCTCTTACGGCCTCTACTTCCAAAACATTATCCAATTAATTAATTGTGCACGACAAGCTAAGCCTTGGAAAATAAAATTCTAGTTCATGAACATGTTGGTTATTGTATGTTATGTTGGGTTTGAAATCGTTTAACGAAGGAGAATGAAACTTAAATTTGGCCGAAAAATTCTCTAGCTATAATTAAAGAATATTAAAACATGAATTTGTGTCATTCAGTAGGATGTAGATTTACACATAATTTGTCATTTCTTAATAACACTTCATACATCAAGAAATTCATAGTGTGCTACAAAAATACCATAAACTCTATTGTTTTTGAAAACCAAATTTAATTATCACACTTCATTAGGTACTTGTAAGATGTTGTAACATTAGGGCTGATTTCACTTACCATTCTGACACTACTCTCATTCTCAAATTTGCTAATGACACCGTCCCTATTTTCATCATATCCTAATCCCTTCATTGCTCACCTAAACGTTCAGACCTAATTCTTCTGCTAAAAGCAGTATTTTACAAAATTGCATTTTAATTGCATTTCAGCCTATTGCACAGGTGCCCAATCCCATTAAGAACTTTTACGAGCAAGATCACAGACCTTTATTGCACCTCGTAGGCGGAAGATTTACCTAACGCCTTATAAATTTTATTTTGTCTCTGGTGTAGCAAATTTTTTTGGTTTATAAATACTAAAACTGAATAACTATCACCATAAAGTAAGCAAAGTCTTCCTTATACAATAATAGTTCCAGACATTTTCAAAAACTGTTTGGGTAAAACGTAGTCAGTGGTTCTTTCTAATTTTGCTTCCAACAATAAAGTCATTTCAGCCCCCTCTCACTGCACTGTTGTGGCCGATGGGGTACTCAATATTCCGCCATCGGCCCTACAGTCTAAAAGATCACTCACTTACAACAAACAAATAAATAAATAAATTACTTATAAATAAATACACGACACAATAATAAAACACAACACAGATACACTTATTTACACAGATATTCACGTTTTATACACTATTTACAAGTGAGGAAACACCCCCGTTTCTCTTAGAAAGCGGAATAGGGGATCCAACATTTGACTTGCTCGCCCGAGTACCGTTTTTATGTCAGGGTTCATGCCTACTCGCTCCCTGTAGGGGGCTAAAATTAAAATTGTTTTAATTAGTAATAAACGAATGGGCCTACATACATGGTTTAAATTAATATAATTATTATGCGACGTGAAATAATAATTATTAAATCCATAACAGTTCGTGATCCCATTGACCAATTAACATTTTTCAATTAATTAATATTTTTATGAGAGGTATTGGTCGAGATAAAAATTAAATATAAAAAGTGTTTCGAGCGGGGTTCGAACCCACGATCTTCGGCTAAATACGCCGCTGCTTTACCAATTGAGCTATCGTAACTACAATAATAAGCGGATCGAAGGTACGATAGCACAAGTGGTAGAGGAGCAGCGTATTTAGCTGAAGATCGTGGGTTCGAATGCTGACTTCGAATTTCGAACTGACTTTTTTATCTCGAACAATACCTTTCATAAAAAAAAATAATTTAAAAATGTTAATTGGTCAATCGGACCACGAACTGTAATGGATTTAATAATTAAACTTAAGTATATCTTCACGAAAGCTCTCCGTGGCCATTTCATTTGTCGCCGAGAATCAAATAGATTACACTGCATTTGAAAAATGGGAAAAAGGATCACGTGGTAGAGCAACGGCATATTTAGCCTAAGATCGTGGGTTCGAATCCCGCTCGTGACACTGACTTTTTCATGTCGACCAATACCTTTCATAAAATTATTAATTAATTGAATAATAATTATCACATTCTATCATTATCATTCTTCTTCTTATCGTTCAATCATTGATTTCAAATAGCTTTTAGAAGCTGGTCGATGTTTCTTTTCAAACCTGCGTGTCAATATTTTTATTTATTTTTTTATATATTTTTAATAGCTGATGTTTTGTTCTAACAGATTTTTAAGTTTGTTCATTCTAAATTGTAACTGTCATTTATCTTTCCACAAAATTTTATACATTCATACAATTTTTTAGTACAATTTAAACGAATCGACTGTAGTTGGAATAAGTTTTAACTGATTCTTTAGGTCCTTGAGATAATATGATAATATTATCTGGTGTTTGAATTTATTTGGCTATTATTTTGCTTTTTCCCTAACAGTGTTTATTTAAAATATAAGTATAATATGTTTCCATTACCAATTTTTTTTTTTAACTTATTTCTCGCATAATTTTTCAAAACTGTACATAAATTACGGTTATTTAGGTCTAAAAACGTTGTTAATTTCTAATTAATGCTGATAGAAATGTTACACCAATTACAAGCGCAATGCTTTATGAGCTGTTATGCTGAATTTTTAACGCCCGAAAGACCGGGAGTCATCAATCAATTCGAAATTAAGTGAGGCCTGCGATCAGCCTACGCTTTTCCCTGGTTTATATAAAAACACGCAAATCCACTAAATCACATTGTATTCTTCTCCGGATAAAAACATCAGAAACGTTTTCTTTTGTAATTTTCTTTTGTCTTGAAAACTTTTTACCAAGCAATTGTTCGAAAAAGCCGTTCTTTACAATATGCCGTCGTTGTTTTATTTCGTCGAAATTTATCCATTGAGTACTGTAGCGAATTACATTTTTCATTATGAAACCAACTCGACGGTGTTTAATCAAATGTTTTTTTCGTCCCCCCACCGACAAATATAGTTTTTTGACCTTAAATTAAATCAAATATTTTGTTAGCAAATCCGATTTTATTATTACTTAATATAATACATTAAGTAAGAAAATTTATTGTACTTAGCAAAAGTGTCAGCAATTTTACGAACTTTCTTACAAATCACAGCCCAACAAAAAAACGACCTGGTGCCCACGAGTTATCGGTTTTTTCCATAAGCACATAAAAAACCACTTTTTTTTGCCCGAAAATGGCGATAACTCAAAACCGGTTGAGAAATCCGGCAAATTAAAAGGTGACCAATTGAAAGCTTATTTTTGGTTAAATTCATTAGAGTTCGTGGTTCGATTGACCGAATAACATTTTTCAATTAATTAATCTTTATGTAAGCTACAGGTTGAGATTCAAAAGTCAGTGTCACGGGCGGGATTCGAACCCACGGCCCTCGGCTAAATATGACTGCTCTATCACTTGAGCTATCGTGATTTCGATCCACTCGGACACTAACTTCCCATCTCAACCGAAGGTCGTCGGTTCGAATCCCGCTCGTGACACTGACTTTTTTATCTCAACCAATACCTTACACAAAGATTAAGTAATTGAAAAAAACTTATTTTCGGTTTTGAAATGTTTATTCTCAAGACTTAAGGTCTATGATTTAAAAGGGTGAAAATAGGTCTATTTTCAAAGTTGTCCATTTTTTCGTGCAAAAACCAGGTCTAATTTCTTTTGATCCTCAACGTATATAGGAAACTCAGATTTAAGACAGCCTAGATACATAAATTATTTAAGTTTTCGTATTAGAAATGTAACAAACTTTTTTTCAATACAAACGTTATATCTCGCCTTTCCATGATTTATCTTATCTTTAATTTGATAAATCTATTTGAGTAAATTGGGAAGAATTATCATGTACCAGCATTGAAGGACGGCGTTGAAACAAGCAAAAACCAACCTTTCCACCAACAAAAACGATAATAACAATTAGGACAGTTACCATGTTTACAAAACCGTGTGCCATGATTACTAACTATTCTACAGTTGCATTTATTTTTATGCTGTATATTTTTTTAAATTCACTGTTTCTTTATTATATTAAGAAAAAATTCACAAACGTACCAATCTTCTTATCAAGATGACAGTTCTTGGAACCTGAACAAATAAACAGTCAGATTAGCAAGCTGAAAAACGAAGAGAACATTTCAATTTTTATATTAAATTGACGATTTTGTATAAACACTTTGACAAAAAAAAACTGTTATAAGTTATATAAGTCCCTTCGTCAAGGTTTCTAAGAAAATATCACCCTTTTTATCAGGACTTTGAAAATGTTTTAATATTTCACAAGGTTACGAATGAGATTTTTCTTTGTGTTCGTATTGGCCTATTTTTTTACATATTTCTCATATATAAAAATAGATAACTTAATATAATTGATGACCTATCATAAAATAAAAATGGGAACTATATTTTACTTTAACATTTTAATGAAAATGTATAAAACTATTTAATTTTTTCTTACATTATTAGTTACTACGAAAAATATTATAATTCAATTAAAAGTTTATTAAAGATATAATTGCAGGGACCAAAGGACTTGGAAAGACTTCAGTTCTTTCTTCAAACTTTGGATGATTATATCCACTTTGTTAGGATTTTAAACCGTTAATTAACTAAATGAGTACAAGTGTGATATAAACATTTAATATTTCAATGTTTTCAGAATAAATCGTTGCAAAGCCAAAAATAAAAAAACCATCACTTTTACAAAGCAAATTAAGCTGATACAAAAATAATTATTCAGAATTCGTTTAAAAAGTGATTTGTCATTAAAATTTAAAAACGTATTGTTATAAAAATATTTGTAAATAAATATATTATACGTGTCTCAGGTGGTGCTGAATCTGGCTACAATTAATGAAACGGAGATTTTCGTTAAATCTTGATATACATTCAATAAAGTCAGAAAAGGACTGTAAAAAAGTTTAGTGAAATTATTTATTTGTTAATTACGATTGATATACATAGCAAAAATATCTGGGGCTTATACAAATCATTGGTAAAGAAAAAAACAGTACACATGATACGAATAGCTATGAAATGAACACAGTGTAAAGGAATGCATGGTCGAAAAGCATCCACTACCTAAATTGCTACTTTAGACATTTATCTGAATCATTTATCCGCCCGGTTTGCCGTTACTAGAACTCTAAAAAGGTATGATCACTATACAAATTCAAAGAATTTATTTTTACAATAATTATATATTGGGTTGTCCGGAAAATAATGCAGGATTTTGGTATTAAACAAAAAAAAAGAAACTAGTTACTTTAAAGCAATGTTCTTTAATCAAAATAATTTCCCNAGAGAGAGAGAGAGAGAGAGAGAGAGAGAGAGAGAGAGAGAGAGAGAGAGAGAGAATACAAAGATAAATAAGAAATAACTATTTGGAATGGTATTTGGAGTAGTAGGCAGGAAAACTAAAAATACAAATTAAAACAAATATATGTACAGGTAATTTGGAAAATATTCACATTTTGTGAGAAAGAGAGAGACAGAAAGAGAGAGAGAAACCGAGGAGAGAGAGGAAGAGTGAGTACAAAGAGAACTAAAAAAGAAAGGATGAAATATTTAGGAAGGTAGTTGCAATAATAGTCAGAAAAACTAAAATACAAATTAAAATAATACCCTCAACATCTGCTAATTTGAGAAATATTAAAATTAGTAGTCAAACTGTAACACAAAAATGTAGGAAACATAAAAAGATTTTTCTCTCTCTCATTCTCTCTCTCTCTCTCTCTCTCTCTCTCTCTCTCTCTCTCTCTCTCTCTCTCTCTGTCTCTCGCCGAAAAATGCTAAAAAATAATGTAGAGAAAAAATATTTATGTGTTTCTCTTAACAAATCTCGCAATTTAGGTTACTAACAACCTCTTTTCGAATTAATTGCAGATAGACAGATAGATAAAGAAAGAGAAATAGAAAGGAATATAGAATATATATATATTGAGAGAAAGAGAGAGAGAGCGAGAGAGAGAGAGAGAGAAACGGTGTGAGAGAGAGAGGGAGAGAGTGAGAGAGAGTGATGGAGCAAGTCAGGGAAATTCACTGCTACAGTTAGAGAAGGCCAAACACAACAGCGTAGTGGCAGGTCTACTTAACGTTTGTCATCTAAGAATGATTTTGCAATATGAGTAAAAATACCCAGGGAATGGTATTCGTTCAACAATAGTCAATGACCAAGTGCTTCTCAGGAGAAGGATCGAGTCTATTGAGTATAAGGATGTAAAAAACAAGGGAATTATAGTAAACGTAAGGTTTCAGTGCTTAGAAACAAAAGTCCCAACTTCCTATCCACCATCGTTGCCGAGAGAGAGAGAGAGAGAGAGAGAGAGAGAGAGAGAGAGAGGTAGAGAAAATGAGGAAGAGTGGATATAAAGACTCAGAATGGTATTTGTTCAATACATTTAAAAATTTTAAATTTTATATTCTTATGTTTAATTGAAGTTGTATATGCAAATTTCAAATATCTGAATGTTTTTATATTGTAACTGTTTACTGTATTTTTTTTGTCGAAGAAAAACGCTTTTTTATTTACGTAATCCATTTTAGTATTTGTGACTTCTGATTTGTATAAGCTCAAATCTGCATAGCTTTGAGACTTTTGTAATTTACAATAAATTACCGGTTCGACCGCTCCCTATGAATTTTTTATTTGGGTTAGATTTGTTTAGTAGTGTGATTTGTTTAATTAATAATTTATTTCTTTTGTATATCAGGTCATAATGTGAACTTGAAAAATTTATTATGAAACATAAGGAAGATAAATTCAAAATTAAAACTTCCACTTTTCGTTTGAATAATGTTTTAAAGGATACCGAATTTTGTTTATGTATCTCAATTAGAGATGGGGAAACAAATTTGTAATTCAATGTAGTCATAATGGCAGACATCAGGTAGACCAAAATCGTCCTCAAAAACTCCTACCAATTAGTCTCTAATGATTACACACAATTAAAATTTTCAACAGTCCCTCACAGCGAGAATTAATATCGTGGCCGTTAATATTCCAGTTATTATGATCAATTCAAGATCCAATTTTCCAACGGTAAAGGGAAATTTAATTAAAAATATCAGTCACTTTCGTGAAGGAAGTTTAAAACTTTTTATCATCTTTGTTCACTTTAACTGTTTTCATCTAATGTTTCAATTATTTTACTTGAACATTTATTTTCATTCAATTTCTTATTCAACAAACTAAAAATTAATTCCGCGCATAAAGAGAAACCTGAGATATGTATATGTATATGCATCGATGTTTTTAAGGTATAATTTTGCAGAATAAATCTGTACGCTTCGGCATAAATGTAACGATTTTTAACGATTACATGATATATAGTCAAGCTGGTTAAGAGTAATTATGGTAACAAATATATTAATCGTATATAGGACATATGATTTTAATATAATGCAATTTTACTTTATAAATATTCTCTGAATTAAAACAGATCCTATAGCTTAAAGAGTTTTGGTGGCACATGCAAGATTTTCCCGGTAAGCTAGAACTATATTTTCAAACAATGAACAAAATACACATTTTTAAAATTAGGAGACGAGTGTTTTACTTCCATTTGGAGTAGTAGGGCTTTTCTTCTTTTCCACTTAAATTTTCGGTTGTTGTGTTTAACCTCTGCTATCGATTTTCTTTTGTCAACTACAGAATTCTCTTCCAAGGTTATGTGACCGAGATCTTAATTGATCAATAATTTTTGTCCAATGTACGGTACATCAGTACGTTTTCCTAGCTATTGCAGGGCAATTGCGTATGCTCTGTTGTCAATTTCTCTTCAAGACATAGTGGACATTGGTCATATTTAAATTCTTCCATTTTTTAACTGGTAATTTACTCGCTTCCTCATTGTAGCTATTAGTGTTTGAATTTCATTCTGTTATGTAGGACAGGCTTTTGTCATTGTGTTGTTTTTGCATGATTCCGGGCGAGCATACGTACCCATTATTTATTGATGATTATTCAGAAATCGTGAGATGCAGTCTGGTGTGATGTAGGTATCAGAAAAACATTTTCTTTATCGTGCCAAATCATCTGCAGGGCTCAATAAAGATCGAAACGTTGGCACGATAAAGAAAATGTTTTTCTGAAACCTACATCCCAGCAGACCGCATCTCACGATTTCTGGATAATCGTCGACAAACGGTCAGTAATCACCACACATTATTTATTGAGTTATTTAGTAACTTCGTTCTTTTTAGCAGTTCTTTATTTAACTTAACGCCTCTGAGACACCACTTTGGTCTAGGCTATTGTAAAACTCAGTTATTTAGGGAATTTAGCTAGTTCCAGACTAGTGTGTTAAGTTGTAACGTACCTTAAAGACCTGACCGACAGCAGTTTTACAATTGCGCCTTTGAAATAATGATTAATTTATGTTGTATATATGTTTGTATAACTAAAATAAATATAAGTTGCATATTATGTGGTGTAATAATTGAACTGTTACAATAATGTGTTTCAAAGTTTAAAACAAGAAAAAATGCAGTTGCCCACTGCTGATGATGAAATGACAAAAATCAAGCATTGAGAAAAGTCGAACAATTTAAGGTGATTCAGATTTTCTTTTTTTTTAATTTTCATTGAAGTTGATGGTAAAAATATTTTAAATCTAGAAATTAATTTAAAAAATAAAATTTTATTAATTAAATTAAAATATATGGCATAAAAATAAATGGATTTCAGTTAGGAAAAATAAAAACTTTCTACATTTAAGGTTATTGTCTAAGTTAGGGTTAAAAGGAGTTAGCCTTTTTACGAAGTAGCGTACAGCGATTATCCTATCGTACGACCGCCTTTATTATCTAGCTTTCGTTAAGCTCAAGGTTTTTCTTACAATCGGTAAGCTGCTTTTTTAAGTGTTCCTGTGTGTTGCTTCAGACTTGGGCTTTTCCCCTCCTATGTAGGAATCTCAGACACCAACAGAAGACACGTTCCGCTGCTTTTTCAATCTGTCACAGGCTTTTTTCAGCCTCAGGATTCTCCAGTAACCAGTGAACTGTTCTACTATTATTCTAGTCCCAAAACGTCTTAGGTGTAGAAAGTCTGCGATAGTCCTTTGACGAACTTTTCATACGCATGGGTTCGGAGATACAGCAGTGTACTTTTAGTTAAGCTGCTTTCGACTCTTTCGTTAGGTTGATAATTTTTTGGAAATATCCGCAGAATCGTTCCGAGTCGATAAGTGTCCTGATCGAAATTTTCTTATCCTATTTCCCTTTTCGTTTCTCCCTGCCCTTCTGCCCAGTATGCCCTGATCCGCCAACAAGGGTCATTTTGTTGTTGTCACCCGTGCCTGGCCTTGATTGAATAGAAAATTGATGATGTACTGCCAATTGGGTAGTAGACTTTACTGCCTCGCTGTCTGAATGGATATGGTCTGCGCCCGAAGCACATTTTCATCAACTCTTCTCCAACACTAGATTTTAGAGCCGTTTCTATACCAGATATAATTGGCATTAACTGTCGTCTCTTTCACCTAGTCTGCATTGAAGCCTTCCCCCACTAGCAATATCTTAACGTTCACATAACCATCGACATGCAATTTATCGTGCAGATTCCTTTGGATTTAGTCGCCACCTTTTCTTACAATGTCGTTTACATCAGGAAATAGATATTTCTTTTATTTAGTTACTGATTCCAAGCAAGTCTTGGTCAATATTGACGAGTTGAGATTTACTTTCTTTAGAAAAGGAAATCACATCCCCAAGACGGTCCAAAGTTTCTGATACATTAAATAAAGAATATAATATAACATATGTATCGAAATCATATTGTTATTTGCTTCAATTAAAGCTCAATAAATTAATGACTTCAAACGTTTGAAATTGATTATAACAAACATATTTTTTCAAATAAAATGCAGTTAAAGCTGCATTCACATACTAAACATAAAAAAGACGACACAATAATGTAGAACCAGTAGATTTATTATTAATGATATCCCGACAAGATACGCAAGCAAGACACATTTCACGAACACAAACCGCTGAGGCACAATGGATTGCGGAACATCACTCTTCGGCGTGCACTTTACTTTCTTCTACACCCTCACCGAGTTCTTGACGATTTTGCTGTACCTGGATAAGTCGTCTGGTTTATGCGCTGCCTTCTCTTTTAACTTCCCGATTATGTATTTAAAACTGATTATCTTCTTGTGGGGTGTAACGTTCAGATTCCGAATCGCTTACGACGTGGAGGTGGAAATCGTCCTGCCGACTTTCACCTGCACGATATCGTCGGCCAGCAAAATGGGATTGCTCATGTCGTCGGTGCGAGCGAGTTTAAACCTTTCCTCCGTAACACCCAACATCAAAATAATGATACCTATGGTGAAAAAATTTAACAATTCCACATTTGTAATTGCTCCATTCTTCATAATGCCGCTGTATACGTGTACAGACACCGCGTATCCGAAAATAATGAACTAGAAGAAGCAAAGACGGTAAGGAATTTTCGTTACAATATTTTTGTGCTTTGTATTTTAAAAAATCACATGGTTTTAAAAATTGGGTTTATAAATTTAAATAAGTAAGTAGAGGCATCAGTGGCCGCAACGGTTTAGGCGTTGACACGGCGCACATCGGCGCGTAAGGTAAAAGTCCCGGGTTCGAATGCAGGGCCGCTGGAAGACCGGCATACTTACAACGGTTTGTTTTTTCAAAAACACCGGCACACCGAGGGTTGATAGATCCCTCGTAAAAAAATTTAAAAAAGTGAGGTGTTTAGTGACCGTTAGTCAATGATTATTTGGAGATCGTGAGATGAGGTCTGGTCTGGTGTAGAAATTTTAGATTCAAAGTATTTGTACTCACTCAGTGTTTGTTTTCTGTGTCGATGAATCATTCTCGTGTGTCGTGTTGAGGCATCTCACTGGCATTCTCAACACGACAGACAAGAACGACACATCTACACAGAAAACAAACACTTTGAGTGAGTACAAATACTTTGATTGAACATAAAATTTTTAGCATTGTATAAATTCATTTTTTCACATGCTACATGTATTTGTAAAATTTAAACAATGTTTATAAATCCCAGGCTCTGAAGATGATCTCAATGAAGATCGAAACATTGGCACGATAAAGAAAAAGTTTTTCTAAAACCTACATCACACCAGATCGCATCTCACCATCTTCAAATAATCATTAAATAATGCATTTTTACATAGCATCTTATTTTTTTGGATTCTTTGCAAATTCTAAAGTTGGAATTTTAAGATCGCGATAGTAGTTAAGGTGTGAAGATAGTTAAAATAGTAAAATTCGAAAGTTAGTAGAGTGAACAAAGAACTAGTGTATAACTAAGGTTAAAGAATCATTAGTGTTACGTTCGTTTTAGAAACAGGTAGGGCAGTGAAGATGAGTGAAAAAATAAAAATATGAGAGATACAGACATATATTAAAAAAGTGCAAAAGTAAGTAAAAATAAGTGGACCGCGGTAGCCGAGTGGTTAGCGTGAGAGATATTATGAATCGATCATAAAGCCATTAAAAAAAAATAATAATAATAATAATAATAATAATAATAATAATAATAATGCAAATACAAGTAAAATTGAGATAACTATAATATAGTCTAACTATATAATTGAGAGCATAAAAATACTTAACTCAAGGTAATGTAGGTATATTTTGAAATACAACGTACATTTATAGACAAAAATAGATTTTTTGATCAAAAATTAGACCATTATGATAAAGTGATACAATTAAATTGGAAAAGGGAAAAAGAAATATTATAAAAGAAAAAAAGAACAGATTAAACATTAAGATAAAAATAAATTATAGTGTCTCGCGTTTGGTAGAAAAATTAACTACACACTGATGACGAAGAAAAAAGATAAATAGAAGCGTTAAATTTATAAAATAACTAATTATTTGTGCTCGTGACACTGACTTTTTCATCTCAACCAATACCTTAGAAAGAATAATTAATTGATTGAAAGAAGTAACAGACAATTGACTATGAAAACGTAAATGGATTAATATTTAAAAAGTAAAAGAAGTATCACTTCACGAAACAGCTTCCCATGGCCACTTCATAAGTCGCTGAGAATCCAATCCGTTTACACGACATTTGAAAATGCAAAAAGAAGGAAAATACGAACGGTTCTGGGTTGAGATGGAGAGTTGGTGTCCCAGAGGATCGAAGTCACGATTGCAGCGTATTTAGCCGAAGGTCGTGCGTTCGAATCCCGCTCGTGACACTGACATTTTTATCTCAACCAAGACCTTAAAAAGAATAATTAATTGATTGAAAGAAGTAACTTAGTCAATTGACTACAAAAACGTAAATGGGTAAAAACGTAAACATATACTTATAAAATAAACTATTTCATCTTAAAACAAACAATTTTTGTGCAAAAACTAATTGCGTGAAATAATATAATAATAGGTATGTTAAGGATTTTTCTCGGATTGACTAATTAATATTGATTATTGAGTGGATTAAAATCTATGCAGCCGAATTTAAGTTGTTTTCAAAACTTATGTAACACACCATGTGTAACACGCTTGAGAGAGATATAAATAGTACCAGGATAAAGAGGTGAGAGGGAGAACGAAAGAAAGAGGAGGCCAGAGAGCATGAGAGCGAAAAGAGAGAAAGTGAGCAAAAAATAGGGCTTTGCAGAACCCAAAACATTATTGAATTATGTACTCATACAGGCCAGGACATCAAACAATGCATTCTAAAATAGCATAACCGCGTGGTTTAATTAGGGTTTTGACCAATTTTTATACTGGAATGTAAAAAAAAAAAAAAAAAAAAACAGTGTTCTGAAAGAGATGTTGCTTCAAGTACACTCGGTATCATGTATTTTTTTAAAATATAATAATATGCGGAAAATATTCTAACTTTAATGAGTCTGTTGGTAACTAGTAGTATCCAGCTGTCTGGCCCGCTTTCGCAATCGAAATTACAATTTAAACGAGAAACGTTTACACGCGTCGCTCGGCGCGGCGTTTTATCAGTGGGGGCGATTTATTTACTTTGAGAACTTCTACCTCTTCCGCGTCCCAAAAGTTACATTCGGGCTCTTTGCCAGTACTCAAAAGTTCCTTGGTATTGTTAACAAAAACCCCTCCCCATTGGATCAAAAGATGCTTCGCCCTGTTGAAACAGCCCGGATCCGTTTCAAACAATTCAACATTAATTCTCGACTTCCATTGAATCCATGATCAATTTCAGAAGTATTATGAGTGACTTGTTTGAAGATGAAGGAGTTGTGGATCAATTTCTTAGCCTACAATATAATTGTTTGCCTTCTATACGTATATCATAATTAACTGATATTGCCTTCAAATTTAACAGAAATAATTATAATAATTGAGATGATTATTGAACGAACTAACACCAACGTAAACTTAACTCCCCAGCGTCGTATATGTTAAAGTTTGGGCTATAATGACATTATGTTTCGATGAACGTAATAAAAGGGGAAATAATAGCTAACCGCGCAGTTATAATTACCGTAGGACTAATAGGCTGTCTCTACAGTGTTGAACAGATTTATTTCATTTTAAAGTATCGCTATAGCCGATAGCTTTGATATGTATTGACTAGGCTATTAAATTTTCAAGCCATACAATCCACATAATGGCAAGAACCAAGTTCATAAAGTCACAATTTTATAGATAATATTTTTATCACTTCGATGATAATTTATTTATCTAACCTGATCAAATTTACTGATGAGTTTATAACTAAAGGAATTTTTCTAACGCCTGTAACCTTGATTAGAAAAAATATTAAGAAAAGGGGTTAGTTAGGCTGAATTCTTGTTTTAAAAGATACATTCAATTTTTTTCTTTCTGATACAATAGATAGGATTTCAAGTTAAGTTTTTATGCTTAGTAAATAAGTCAATACAGTATATAAAATAACAATATAAAATAGTATTCCATATAAAATATTATTCTTTTCATCTTTGGTTCTGGAAAATATGTTTTATTAACTGGATACATTTATCTTCATTTTACATTTTACACGACATTATTTTTATTTTACATAGTCATGCATTACAATTGTTTCTTGATGTTTTTATTCAATTTCAGATGAAACACGGTGAAAAACTGTGAGGAAAAAGGTTTAAACTAGAAGCACGACACACGCTGAAATTTTACGTAAAGTTGGATGGTTGTCGGTTGTCCGTTTTGTTTTCGTATCTAAGAGCCGTTGTCGAAAAAATACAAATTTCCCGACAAAATAAACTGTAAACGTATTGATTACATCAAACGAGAGAAAGAGACCCATCCTTATCCAGTGCCATGATGTTGATTAAAATGTACTTCGGTTAAATGTGTTGTTTATTTTTAACTCGTTGGATGGAAAAACGTCGGTACTTTTAAATGCATTTTCTTGATAAAATGGTTTTCTGACTTTTTGGTGTATTTCGAAGTTATTACTTTTCAGTTTATTAGTAGTTTTTTTGGCTTTTTAAAAGAAAATATTATGCAGGAATGTTCCAACTGATAATAGATATATAAACACTTCCAAAAAACCGAAAAGCATTTTCAGTAGAATAGGCCGAAAACGTTTTTTAAAAATTAGCTTGTTTCATCGACCCTTTAACAATCTGAAATATGAAATTTAAAAAGCATAAAAAAATATTTCAATTAATTATTAAGTTCTGGAATTTTTTGTCCGATATATATTTTTTGTTGTTTTGTATTATAACTGTTCTGAATGAAATTAGATATATAAAAAACAAAATCGAATAAACGCTTTCAACAAATTGGCCAAAAACTAAATCCAAAAATCATTAAATATGATTTTCAATCGATAACATGCACTATTGTAATGTAATGTTCCTCAGCCATTACATCAAACTTATAATGACATTGTAAATATTGAAATACTTTATTTGTAAAAAATTTTGTATCTGTTTTGGCGACCTAAAATATATTTTTTCTCAAATTTTTCTCGTTTTAATTTTTTTCTTAAAAAATAAGCAAAAAGGTTGCAACGTTGAAATGTACATGATTAATTAATCTACCTAAAACTTTATAGTTTTATCGGTTTTTTTAGTCAGCACGGACAAAAACCTACTGTATTTGAAAATACATTTCGAAGCATTATTCTTTCCTTATAGCATACAAAATCTTTATGACGATTCAGGTGCGAATGAATTGACAATATCTTTAAAAAAAAAGGAACATTAAAAACTAATCAAACATTAAAGTGGTTTCCGATCCAACTTTATAGCGCAACTTTATGATAAATTTTGTTTTCATTTTTAATTTGATCAATTATAAATGAAATTAATAACTTAAGAATTGTTGACGTACAACAACAAGGTAGGTATTCTGCTTTCCAATAGTTTTAATACCGTTGAAGTTTGATCAAGTTCAGTGAATTTATGAATTTTAATGTGATACAGGCAAGTAAAGAAAAAATATTATCTATAGGTAGTCAAGTCAATTTTTTTTAAATACGACACAACTACACTCTCAACACGTCAGGTAAGAATGACACTTCTACACGGAAAACAAACACTTTGAGCCCTGAAGATGATCTCATTAAAGGTCGAAACGTTGGCACGATAAAGAAAATGTTTTTCTAAAACATACGTCACACCAGACCGCATCTCACGATCTCCAAATAATCATTTTTTAAATGAGATATGTAGGGTAACTAAAACAATCTAATCTTTCAAAAAACTTGGCTTTTGGCCACATTATAACTTTTTATTGGATCATATTTGTGAAAAAAAACCCGGGATACCTAAATTTTTAATTTTGTCTAGTTTCTCATCAGCCTATTTTTTTATATAACTCTCCAGGAAAACCGGATAACACGGTAACCGTTTCAAATTTCAAGATACTCACCAATCAAATTAATTAAGGTTTTTAGTTGAGATAAAAAAGTCAGTGACACCAGCGGGATTCGAACCCACGACCTTCGTCTTGATACGCCGCTACTCTACCACTTGAGCTTTCGTGACCTTAATTAATTTGAACGATATTAATTGGTCAAGCGGACCACGAAAACTAGTGAATGGAATACACCGCACATTTCCTAAAGGGTTTTTTTTTTGATGGTGGATTCGACAAGTCAAACGGTTTTTCCTTTTTACATTTAGTTTCGCATAAAACGTTTCCGAACACTGTTTTTCTTCAACCAAACACTAATGTATTTATGACGTTAAATGAAAATAAATTACTTGATCTGGATCAGAGAGAAAAATTTGACATTTTTTTTTGTCAAATAGCATTAATTCACAGGAAGCTCTGGATGTAGTTTATGAACGCACATTCAGCCTGTCACAAATTGTGGTTCACAAACACAAACTTAAAGAAATTAATATTTGACCAACAAAACATAAACAAAAATTGATTTGTTGACATTTGAGGCTTTTCAATAATAAATAACAATTAAATGCATTAATACACAGTAGTTAACACTTTTCTTAAAAACAGTAAAGTTTAGTTTTACATTTTTTGACTTATCGTATAAATCGTAGAATGTCACGTAAATTTCAAGAAAAAGTGGAAGTGATTCTGCTGTTAAGGAAAGTGGAGCGAAATTACCACCAGGCCGAATTGCGTTTTAATAAACTACATACATTTACATATATTCATCTCCCACGTACTTTGCAGACGAGCCAAAAATTGTTGAAACTTGGATATGATGTGTTACCCCACTTACAGTACATGCCTGACATTGCCCTTTCAGATTTCTATTTAATCCAGGCCCTGCGAAACTTTTAAACCTACAAAAACTTTCCTTCGCTTGAGTACTGCGAGAAACACATCAAGTCGGTCAAAAACTTGAGAAGTTCTGGGAAGATTGAATTTCAAATTATCACTAAAGATGGCAATATCTTTATTGGAACAAAATGGCTCATATATGGTTGAATAAACATGTTCGAAAGTACTTGAAATTTTCGTGGAATTTATTATCAAAAACCCTTACAGGCTTACTTTACTATCTTTTTAAAAACACAGTCCCTTTTCACAGTTAGACTGGAACTAGCCTTAAACTAGAACTAGAGGTAGACGAGAAGCGAGAGTTCAAATAGCCATAAAAAATGACTTTTTATTCTCATATGACCAACATGCGGTTAAAAACTAATACCAATGTATCCGAAACCACCAATGCTACACGTTGTGGTCAAAATTCACAAGGAAAACAAATTTATCAGACTAGTAGGTCCTTTTATAATTCTCCATGCCAAAAACTTGCGATTGCAATTGATAAAATAATTAAAACTCACACCAATTGCAAACTTACATTCGGTATTAATCATTCTTTAGAATTGTCAAAACAATGAAAGAACATCAATATACTTAACAACTGTATTTTAGTTTCATTTGATGTTACTAATTTATTCTCAAATATCTCCTATGTAATAAAGAATGTAAAAACTTTACTTATAAAACAAAGTTTTACGGAGAATTCTGAATGATATAATGGACCTCTTAAATATAGCCCTATCTTATTATAAAATTTATGAAATGAAGGGGTTACTAATGGAATCTCCATTATCCCCACTTTTGGTCGAAATATTCATGGAAAATTTTGAAAAAATATTTTAAACAAAAATTAATTAAATCCGTGCTCGCTCCTTTCCTTTATTCAATTTATACGTCCGACCTACCTAGGCAACCTATCACACCACTATCACCTTCACCTTTGCCGATGCTACCCCAACCATTTATCTGTCACAGCTTCCCGTAATCTCCAAAATCACCTACACATCCTACCTGGCTTCATCAGTGGAGAATCAAGATTCAATCAGCGAAACCAAATCAACAAACATAATATTTACGCTAAACAAGAAAACGCTCCCACCAGTATACTTCAACAACGTTCCTATCCCAATTGCGAACCATGTACGACACCTCGGACTCTACCTGGACAAACGGCAGACGCGAACCACCATACACATTATTTAAGCGCACATGTAACATACGATTTTTCATGCTTATACGACTACTCTACAGACGATCAAAACTCACTAACAAAGAAAAGAAAATATTACATTGCCCTCCTGGCCCCCATTTGGACATACGGACTTGAACTTTACGGGACTGCTAAGAGTTCCAACCTCAATCGAATCGAATCCCTTCAATCAAAAATCCTCAAAACAATAGTCAACGCCCCTTTCTATGTATCCAACCACACCATCCATACCGACCTAAAGCTGAGAACACACTTACCCAATGCAAGCTATGCGACGCTACCCGAGGCTACCCGACGCCTTGCCACGTTTTGGTAGGGTGTGCACATCTATGCGACGTCAAGCGCATGCCATGTACAGTCACACAGCGTGTATCAGAAATCAGTATCGCAATCGCAACGCCTCTTTTGTTCTTAATGCATTATTTTGAGCAAAACCATGTAATAAATTGTTAGTGAAATTTTATAAGAAAAACCGTGTAATAAATTCTTAGTTAAATTTAATTGTTTTAAATAAAGTTATTCCGGTGTTTTGATCAATTTTCTGACTACCATAATTAAATAATTTTTATAAAAACTCATGAATTTTTGATCTCGTTTAATTTGGTTTATATTAATATAAGAATGTTGTAATTAATATAACGACAAAATTACAGATATATAGTTTGAAATAAACTTCAAAAAATATGAGTGTCCTGTTCTGACCCTACTCGACGAAAATGATTAATTGTATGAGCAAAACCATGAAATAAATTGTTAGTTAAATTTTATGTGGACAACCATGAAATGAATTGTTAGTTAAATTCATTATATAAAAAAAATGATATTCCGGTATTTTGATTTTCTACAATTTTCTACCAAACCATTAAAATAAATTTTTTAAAATAAAAACTAATGAATTTTTGATCTCGGTTAATTTGGTTTATATTAAAATAAGTATGTTGTAATGAATATAACGACCATAATACAAGTAGGTTGAATAAAAATATGATTATCCGGTTCTTTTGTCTTCGACTGTACTCGATGCTACCCGACGAAAATCTGGACACGGGGATCGCAGAGCCGTAGGGTAGGGTAGCGTCACATAGCATCGTTCAGAATATCCTATGGAAAAGTGTAGTTTGGATTTGCGTCAGGTGGCATTGGGTAGCGTCGCATGGCGTTGCATCGAGTAAGTGTGTTCCCGGCTTAAATGTTACTGAGCTAGCCCAATCCCGCTACAAAATCCATTGTCCGTGTTCCATTCCAAACCACCCCATCATCCGAACCCTTTCATCAAAAACCTGTCATCCACCACATTACCTAATAATCCCAAAAGAAGACTGAAGCGTCGGTGGCCCCGCGACAAATTTAACAAGTGACATCGGTCTCCTAAAGCGGAGTCGTTAATCTCGCTC